CCAATAATGTGCAAAATCTAAAAGGTCTGTCACTATATTTAAAGCTTCAGTGCTGCTGTTGATAAAAATAACTCCCACCGCTAAGAATAAGGAACGAGTTCAGATAAAGTAGAAGTTCTTTTTTACATTATAACAAGGGTAGGCAGAAGGGCTTTTAAAAATGAAAACAACAAAAGTTACGAGTTTTGAAAGCTACTCAGAATTTCATCCATGAGATAAGTTGAAAAAGGCATATACCTTTGTGTATTCCGTATTACTGGAAGAAAAGTGTGTGAAATTCTTCTCTTCGTGTTGGTTGAGAATTATGTGAGCTGAAATCCAATGGGAAGGTGTCTGATGAGGAAAAAAACTGTTCTAAAGAAACTAATTATTTATGGTAAAGCTAGAATATTTTCTATATAATTATAGTAGGGATCCATTAACACCCATAACAGCATTGTTATTTAGTTAGAAATGGTAAACAAGTGAATTATTCTGAGAACTGGGAAAATGTCTGAAGGAAGTCCTGCCTTAGCACTTGGCTACCACAGGTGCCCCCGACACGAGTAATGTCGAGCTGGCCACGGCCACCTTGGCCAGGCCTACCCCGGCCACACCCATTCCGCCTCCCATGAGGTCAAACACAACCCTGATGCGGCCCTCAATGAAATTGAGTTTGACATCCCTATTTGAGAAGCAAGGTGATAGAACAGCTAAGAAATGGAACCAGGACTAGAAAAATCTATATTTAAATCCAACTGCTATGTATATTAAAAAAAAAATCACTGAAGGACTTTAGGCCAAGTATTCTTTCTTAACCCCATCTTTATCATTGGATTTTAGAATGTGTGTAAAATGTAGGGAGATTCCCCACATAAATTACTCTGAGCTCTTGGAGAAAGGCATGCAGCATGCAGGAGTTCTCAGGATGGAGACTATGGAGATAATCTGTCCACGTTGTCCTTGAAGCAGACTGAATATCAGCATGGCATGGCATGGCATGGCATGGCATGGCATGAAATGGAATAGAATAGAATAGAATAGAATAGAATAGAATAGAATAGAATAGAATAGAATAGAATAGAATAGAATAGAATAGAATAGAATTTTTTATTGGCGAAGTGTGATTGGACACACAAGGAATTTGTCTTAGTGCATATGCTCTCGGAGTACATAAAAGAAAAGATACGTTCATCAAGAATCATAATGATAGTCATAGGGTACAAATAAGCAATCAGGAAACAATGTCAATATAAATCATAGGGATACAAGCAACAAAGTTACAGTCATACAGTCATAAGTGGAAGGAGATGGGTGATGGGAACAATGAGAAGATTAATAGTAGTGCAGACTTAGTAAATAGTTTGACAGTGTTGAGGGAATTATTTGTTTAACAGAGTGATGGGGTTTGGGAAAAAACTGTTCTTGTGTCTAGTTGTTCTGGTGTGCAGTGCTCTATAGTGTCGTTTTGAGGGTAGGAGTTGAAACAGTTTATGTCCAGGATGCGAGGGATGTGATATATAATAGGTGTGATATTAGCTGTGTACAATAAAAGGTGAAAGGTGTTACTTGGGTAATGCTTTGGAGGCCAGGTTTAGTTCTAGTTAATGTGACTGGAGCATGGAAGGAAAAGTATAGTAAAAATAATACTGGCCTTCAGTGCCACTTCTTTCTATCAACGTAGGGCAGCATTTATACAGTCTCTTAACTGTTGCTGTGTTTCTTCTCAGACAAAAGCTGATGGACAATACTATCTCTTTTAAGCAATATATTGTTTTTCATACATTTATAGAAGCTTCTATGAGGTAAACTGGCTTTTATCCTTTTTATGTATTACACTGATATATTGCTGGGCCATTTGAAATGTGCATTCTGAAAAGAAAAAGAAAAAAGGGTCCGAATTCATTTTCTCTAGGCGGAATGTTTAAAATGCCCTTTACCCTTACTTTTGATTGACAATTCCTTGAGGTTGACCATTTAAAATCTGTTGAAATTTTATTAAGGGATAATTCTCTATCTTGGCAGGAAATATGATACCATCTCGGTCTTAAGGCTCCAAATTTGACCTCTTTAAAATTAAGGGCAGGCAAGGTATCCAAAGTGAAGTTGTCTCATGGTTGGATGTATTTTGTTAATGAAGATAATCCACCTGAAATCAATAGTCTTTGCAAACAAATGCTAAGCACGTGCATAAAGATATTTTCCTGAATTCAGTGAGAGCTAGTCTCTATTTAAGGACGGTGACCTTGATAATTGACATTAATAGCACTCAGAAAGTAGCTTTTCTATTGTTAACTGGAGTATAATAGTGCATTCCCTATTCAACTTTTTTATAATTAAAGCTACAATACTCTATGCATTTCACCCAGATCTATGCAATAGAACTTATTTCCATATAAAAACCATTTTGGCTTGCATTGCCAGCTACACATTTTAATTCAACATATTTTCAGAGCAACTTATTTCTTTTAGCATTATTCTGAAGTCCCACTGTGTCCATTGGAGCCAAGTTAAATCTGTGTAGGATTGCAGCCTTAATTGCTTTATTTCATGAATACATTAATTTTGACAGAGAACAATTGTTTTCACAAAAATGTGTCAGGTAGTGGGAGTAAGCTAAATACTACTAATATTGTTGTTTAAGAGAGAAACATATTTTTTAAGGAAAAAAAAGAGTAGCACATTAATCTGAACTTGTTTAAAATAAATGCTATGGAACAGCAAACATTGGCGTCGCCAAATTCCTGAAAATCTTTATGTCCAATCCTAAATTGTAAACCATTAGCTGTCACTGGGATTGAAAAAGTGATGGGGTTACATGGGTGGAAGAGAACGAGTAGCGTGTATTAAACAAGCGATCCCTCATTACCCTGGGATGCAAAGCCGAAGTGATAAATATTTATGAGGTAGCCTCTGTCCAAAAGCCTGAAGATAATAGGAGTGTTTTCTTGGTGATGGTTTAAAAAAAAAAAAAGGCAGAGCTGAGTAATTTAGAGTAAGTTACAGAGTGAAAAACTTACCCTCTTGAATTGGTGTGCAAGACAAAGAAGAAATGTGGGGAGAACTGCCTCACAACATAAGCTGTCACACCCCTCCTCATCTGCCCCAGGGATCTCGTGGAGAATTTGGCACCCCTCCATCCACAAAGAAAACTCTAACTCCCCTTCCCCACCAGACCTGCCTCAACATTCATCCATGCCAGGGAAGACATTTCCATTCACAGCTCCGTTAATACAGAGAATTGCTTCAAGCTCATTATTCAGTATTGGTCTAAGGTTGCTTTCTTATCTTCAACAGATGACTCAGTAGATGAACTATAGTGGGTGAAGCACATGCCCCTGCCAGAAAATATGTTGAGTACCTTAATAAAAAAGTGACTTGAATAGAGAACTATAGGTAGTTTTCAACTTACGACCACAATTGAGCCCCAAAAGTATATTGAGAAATTTGTTAAGTGAGTTCTGCCCCTTTTACGACTTTTCTTGCCGCATTTGTTAAGTGAATCACTGCAGTTGTTAAATTAGTCACGCTGTTGTTAAGTGAATCTGATTTCCCCATTGACTTTGCTTGTCAGAAGGTCGCAAAGGGGGATCATGTGACCCCCGAGACACTGTAACCATCATAAATGTAAGTCAGTCGTCAAATGTAAATCACATGACCATGGGGGATGCTGCAATAGTCAAAAGTATGAAAAATGGTCATAAGTCAGTTTTTTTCAGTGCCGTTGTAACTTTGAACGATCTCTATGCGGACTGTTGTAAGTCAACTGTTGTAAGTAGTACCCTGGCTTCCTTTAAATTTATAGTCTTAGTAATGCCATGCTCACAAGCGCCAAAGATTTGGAGTTGGGAATAATAATATAAGAGGACAGGATAAAGCAGTAGATAGAGAGTTCTTCCCTTCCATGCTCTTTTTATGCCTGCTTTTCTCACACCCATCTAGCATGCTTAATTAGAGATGAACACCAAAGAGGACATGTTGAGTAGTACAAGATCATCCCTACCGCTGCCTACAGCTGCTCTTCTCCAAGTTATGTCACTAGAGACTTAAGTTTCTTCATCCAGAGACGCCATCAAGAGTCTGATTTGATTCCAGGCTGGGAAAGAAAAAAGAACACCCTATTTCCCCCAAAATAAAACATCCCCTGATAATAAGCCCAATCGGGCTTTTGAGCACATGGCAATAAGGCCAAACACTTATTTCAGGGTTCAAAATAATATAAGACAGGATCTTATTTTCGGGGAAACATGGCATTAGCAGGAATAAAGAACACATGAATTCCAAACCCACAGTAGTTCTTTGACTGAGGTTTATGAGAGCCGTGATTTTCATCACAGCTTGATTTTCATTGCAGTTTTAAAAGGTTAGGGCAGAATGGACTTGGAGAGCTGAAATAGTTTCTGTGGTTCCTCTTCCTTTTCTGATCAACATTTGGATATTGTTGCTTCCACCTCTTCAAGTGTTATTTATGGCTGCCTGAATCTTAGGAGCATCATCTCGGACATGACATTCTGGCTGGAAAACTTAGCATGAGCAATATAAAATGTGAGTTTGTGCTTCCACTAGTGACTTCCTGCCCTGCCCACCTGGCTATCTCAACGGTGGCACAATTGCAAGGGAGACTAAATGCAAATAGTCTAAAGAAGGTGTTAAACATCCATTCTTCTCCATTCATCGGAAGCATGTCAATCTTAAATAGCAAAGTTACTTTAAACGGTATCACGTAAGGCAAAGGCACAAACAGTATTTGGGGATGTATTTGAAGGAGGGGGGGGAAATCCAATCCGAATTCCAGATTGGATGGATACTGAAACGCAGTGGGCCATATGCTGAGAATTCTTAAACATCAATGGTCAAAATGTTTCTTCGCTCTTTAAGTGCGCAATTCTGATTTTGTGTCTGAATGTTTACACTGAAAAGATCAAAGCTAGTAAGACCTGATAGTTTTCAAAACCTGTTATGTACTATATATGATCCGTATGGTTTGACATGTCCTTGGAGAGCTCTCACTTATTTTGCAGCAATGGTACACCAGCTCCATGAACATCGTTTGCACTTGGCTAACAGACCGCATGGACCTTCAGCTTCACATCTATCAACTAAAAACCCTTATTAGAATAGTAAAGGTAAGCTTGCTTAATGTATTTGTGTAACTTGCAAAGAGGTTCTGCTCTCAGTCGGAAAGGAAATGAACTGTGCTAATTAAGCCAAAGCTTAAGGTCCCGTTTGCACATGTGGACCTTACATCTGCCACATTGAACAAAGTCAACATGATATTGACAAAATATCCATCCAAGAAAGTGAAGATGGAGGAAACAGGACAGGCAATTGTAGCAATTTGTCCATGCATCAACATCTCATTTATTCTTCGTCTTTACTACAACTCTTAACTACTTACTACAACTTCGTCTTTACTACACACTGGGATATTTCCGATACTAGCTTTGGGACCTTGGAAGTCTTCTAGTCCAACCTTCTGTCTGAGGCAGGAGTCCTGATTATCCAAAAGTGTAATATCTTTCACACTAGCATTATTCTAGTTCAGTGATGGCAAATCTATTGAGCTTGTCAGGTCACACATTTATTAAATACCTAATTTGACTCTGCTAATTCTGCTCTCTCTTTCCCTCCCTCTCTCTCTCTCTCACACACACACACCCCAGTGGTGGGTTTCAAATGTTTTTACTACTGGTTCTGTGGGTAGGCGTGGCATGGCTTGGTGGGCGTGGCTTGGTGAGCATGGCAGGGGAAGGATACTGTAAAATCTCCATTCCCACCTCATTCCAGGGGAAGGATACTGTAAAATCCCCATTTCCTCCCGATCAGCTTGGACTTGGGAGGCACAGAATAGATGGGGGCGGGGCCAGTCAGAATTTTTACTACCAGTTCTCCAAACTACTCAAAATTTCTGCTACCGGTTCTCCAGAACTGGTCAGAACCTGCTGAAACCCACTACACACACACACACACACACACACACACACACACACACACACAAGAAACAATTCTCTAAGCCCCCTCTCCTCCCCCTTAGGCCATTCTGAACAGTGGCATTTGGCAGCAGCGCTGAGGCTCTACCTGAAGTAGAGGTCAAGGCCTTGACTTCAATCCTTGCACCCCACGCTGCCACTTTAAAAGACTGACTGGTAACATTCCACAAGTCACACGAACCTTAGGGAATGCTGAGATTGCCAAAGGATTTTCCCTTCACTGCTTCCTTTCAAGTGATGTTCTCTTTCTGTTGACAGGCCCCTACCCAACAGTGCTCCTGGTTGCACAAGGCCTTCATTCTTGAAATGGCTTCAAAAAATGCTCTTTTGCAGCCCCTGCAGCCTCCAAAATCTGCACAAAAGCACACCCTGTTCTTGTGGGATTTTTGCCACTTCAGAGACCATACAAGAGCACACCTCGTTCTTGCACAGCCTCCAAAAAAACCAGTGGGAACAACTGGTTTATGAACGCTGTCATAAAGGCTGCCATGTCACCCAAAACATCATGGTGGGTCAGCTTTGGCACGTGTGTCATAGGTTCGCCATCACTGTTCTAGTTGCTTCCATTTGATCAAATGAAACAGGAGCCAACCTAGACAGATGGTACTGAAGGGCAGGGAACTATATGAAGATGAACGACTTCCCTGAGTCTCTTCATAAAGTGCTGGATAATCTTCTGTAGCAGAGCAAAAAGTATCTCTTAATCTGCCCCCTTCGATATGTAGAAAGGAAGCAAAAGATACTACCCAAAATTGTTGGGTAGCAATCTTCACTACTGACTTCACTTTCAGGGACTTGAAAGATCCTTAAAAATACATGTCATATCAGTATCGCACCCATAATTAAAATAATTTCTCTTACAATAGATGTTGACAACATTTAAAAAGGGGTTACACACAAAACAAGAAGCTCTCCCTAATGTAGCTGTAGTGTATGTGTGTGTGAGAGAGAGTGCGGGTATGTGTTGGATGGATGGATGGATGATAATTATTTCAGTGTGAAATCTCAGTGGCTTACATAAAATAATAAGATCTCAGGAGGAGGTAAATACATATTTGATCATTTTTGGTTCCATGTGATATATTTTGCAGATGAGGAGAATTATATACTTTAGAAAAGAAGTCATGAATAAATTACTAAAATGGTTTTTAATTTTCAAAATAAAAGCAATAGGTATTAGCACATTATTATTATGTGTTAGCTTGGGAACACTGAAAACACGGGAAGTGTCTTTTGTACTATTAGACTACGTAATAGCCTCTTTTTTAAAAAAAATAACAGTTTCTCTAGGCATAAGAGAGATGCAAAACACATTGTTAAACTGTACATGAATTTAACTAATACTTGTATTTTTATGATGTCATGGAATTCTGGAAAACCAGCAAAACCAAAAAACTTCAGAAACCTAGACAAATTTTTGATAAATGAATGGCCTTGACACCTAAGACACTTCACAGCCCCATTTAGTCTCATAATACTCAAGGAAGGGCTATTAAATGGAAAGATGGGGCCATTGCTCCTCCTCACAACTTAGAGGTAGCCACAACTTTATCAGAGTGATGAAATATACATCACAACAACATCATGAAGCATGTTTTGCTCTTTTATTTGATATTGTGACAGTATAAAAGGAGCACAGTTGTGTCATGATTTCAGAGCACACCTTCCTCTGCCCTTCACCCTTACCTGCAGTTAACCCTGCCATATCTATGATATTTTTATACAAATATTTCCCACTCTAGACCTCTGTTTGTTTGGTTCACTTCCAGTTTTGGAGTGTGAAATGGGAAGAGCCTTCCCCATTCCCATATACGTTTCCATAATTTTTATTCCATAATTATCATTGTGAAGTTTTCTGTCCTATGTCATACAATACGATCTTCAAAGAAACATTGTTCAATCCTCCAGTTGTTTTTCCAACATTATGGAAACTATTTTCAGAAAATCCTAGGAAATAAGAAGTCAGAATAATTGCTATAAGGTTTAAGATACTGTCAGAGGTCCCACTCTTTCAGAAGGAAGATTGGTAAGTCTGTAGAATACAAACTCCAGATAACTGTCAAAATCAAAGATGCATGAAAAGCATCCTTTCTTTAAGATTTTCCTCATGAAAGGAAATTAGACAGAATAGAATAGAATAGAATAGAATAGAATAGAATAGAATAGAATAGAATAGAATAACAGAGTTGGAAGGGACCTTGGAGGTCTTCTAGTCCAACCCCCTGCCCAGGCAGGAAACCCTACACCACTTCAGACAAATGGTTATCCAACATCTTCTTAAAAATATTTTAAGAAGATGTTGAAAATATTAAACAAAAGTGCCCAAATGAACTCCTATTTCATCAAAATGGCTTCCAACCTGATCCAGTTAAGAGCACGCAAGAGCACGAGAACAGACTTCTGCTAGTTGACTCTTAAATCCAAATAATTTTTCTCATAAACGGGTACAGATAAAATCAATTTGTGATCTCTAACAGATACACAGATGTGTCAGTAATATATTGTACAGTATACATCCATTTAAGATTAAGGAACCAAACCTTGCTCTTGGTCTCTCAAGGATATTCATACTTAGACATTTAGCACTATCAAATCATTTTACTTCAGTTTCTCTATTTCTGCAGAAATGGGGTTGAGAAATACTGGGGAATAAGTACTATAGGATAGCATCTGTTCCCATTAAAAAAAAAAGTGCTTGAAACATATTTGAAAGCATGAAACCTAATTGCTGCTATTTCTGGGTTGGGTTGGGTTGGATGTTTGGTCATGTTTTTCACAACACAAACTTCTTCATCCTAGAAAACATACAGAGATTTCCGATTGCAAGGAGTTCTGGATTCTACTTTGAATAGTAAAACCTATGACACAGTCCGAAACCGGCTGACTGTAGAAGAAGCCACAGCCTCAGTAAGTGAAGGTGGAGGACTGCAAGGGATCACCATGAAAGACAGCGATGAAGAAGATGAAGAGGATGATTAGATCTCCAGATTTAGAGTCCCCCAACCTGGATGTAGCCTGGAAACCAGTGCATGTAATCTAGTCGGTTATTCAATTAGCCACATTAGGAAATTTTCTGTCTGCTCTAAACGCCCATGGAAAATCTACCAATACAACTCCCATTTTAGCTGTGTGGTTCTTAAGACTTAGCACCTCTGTTTCGATTCATTGAGTTTCCTGATTTCATATCTCTATGTTTATAAGCAATATGGAGCACCATTGTTTAAAACAGTTAATTGAAAATAAATCTGCATAGAAAACATACTAGGTGTGTCCCTATAATAATTAAAGTATAAAGGATGCTTCATTAATGTACGTATATACATTGATGGTAAATTGTTGTGAAGACAAGTGAAACAAGTTCTTTCATATGTTTGTTTCTCTTTTATGGATGCCAACTGCTTTGAAACAGAGTAAGGCTACTACTACTACGAGACACCTATTTTGTACATTTGGGGGAGGAGGAACATACACCAGAAGTTGGGATTATTCCTGTTTATTGTACCCAAGCACTTTTCTTCCAAAGTATACAGCTAACTTTGTAGAAGTGACTGACCATTGGAATTTTAGTCATCCATCTACAGAATGGGCTGATCTTGGGCTGATCTTGATCACGTTGTCCACCTTATGATTCTGAGCAGTTGCTTTATGTCAGCGTCTTGCCCCCACTCAATGTTACATTTTGTTCAGAGTTCCAATAACTGTGTTTGTAAAAAGGACAACTTTAATTACAACCTTAGACTATACAGATGTGTTTATAATAATGAGGACGCTATAATAACAATAATGATAAACGAACGACGATTTCTTTTCGTAGACTGTATCCATAATTTAAATCTCCTTTTGTTTTCATAATGGTTTTTATATCTTGTCATGTACATTGTATTTGGATCAGTAACGTGCATGTCCTTGCGTTTCTCCCCCTTTCCAGGAGCTTTTATTTTTTGTGTAATAAAGTGGATTCATCTTGCTTTTTTGCCTTATACAAGCCGACAGTTGTAAAAGTGTGGGGACTGTGGCTTTTCAATAAATAACTGTTCAGATGTCCTACTCATAAAACACTGGAGTCTTTTTATGTTTGCCTTAGGAAGAAGAAGGAAAAAAAACAAACCACAAAAAGATTAGTCAATTTAACAAGAATCCATGTAAGAGCTCCTGTCTTCTAGAATAAAGGAATTTTCTTTTCACCTGGGTGGTTTTTTTTTTAAATAGTTTGTGAATTGAGGGGCTCCTCTTCCAATATGCTCTCTGAAGCAAATGCAAACTTCAAGGCCCACCGGAACCAGGCTGGGGAGGATGTTCTCAGACAGATGATTCACCAAGGCCACCAATCAGAAGGCCCTGCTCAATCTTTCTTCATGGATTCTCTGCACTATATAAAAAATAAAAAAGCTGGAAGCCATGAGGGAAAAACCTGGAAAATTTACCAATGGGAGGCAACATATGCTGTGAATGAGGCAGAACAATTACCCAGGAAGGCCTTTCATGCAGAGTGAAGCAGGTTAGGAGACCAGCCAAAAGGTTTTCAACTGTGGTTGTGGAGTACAAGTACAACCACAACTGACCCCCAAATTTCTGTTGCTAAGTGAGACAGTTATTGTGGGTTTTGTCCCATTTTATGACCGTTTTTGTGCCATAGTGGTTAAGTTGAATCGCTGCAATTGTTGACATTTAGTTTTGGAGAACACACATGATCATTTGCAACTTCTCTGATCACATCTGGATATATATTCCCTACAACAGGGGTGTCAAACTCAAGTCCCGGGGGCCAGATTCGGCCCATGGGCTGCTTAGATCTGGCCCACGGGGCCGCCCTGAAAACAGCGAAGGACCAGCCCATACTGCCTCTCCCAGTGAAAACGGAACTTAGGAGGGCTGTGGGTGGAGGGTTGCAGGAAACTGTCGCAATCTAAAAAGGAACTTGGGAGGGCCACGTGTGGCCCTCCCAAGCTCCATTTTCGCTGGCAGAGAATTGCAGGAGGCCATTGCAGCTGAAAACAGAGCTTGGGAGTTCGTTTTCTTTGGCAGAGCGCTTGGGCACCACAGGTGCCCCCGATACGAGTGACGTCGAGCTGGCCAGATCCACTCCGGGCCCTCCGAGGTCAAACACAACCCTGATGCAGCCCTCAATGAAATTGAGTTTGACACCCCTGCACTACAAGGTTCTGTGAACTGCCCCTGCAAATATTCCAGATGCCCTCAATCTTTTTCATAGTCAGAGCTCTGGTTGATCAATTGATTGGTCCCGTTTTTTAACCAACTACAATCAACAGATTTGTAGTAAGGTACAATTATAACACCTATAGGACTTTGGTGGTATAATCCTGCTTCCAAATAATCACAAAAAAGATGTCAACCCACTAAAACAAAAATCATTTTAAAATCCCAAAAAGTAAGCAATAAAAAATAAAACAGAGGCTTAAGAAACAAAGGCCCTCTTAAATAGTTCAATTTTTCATAATTTCCTTAAGCCTGTTAAGGAAAGGGCAGCATTAATTAGTTTGCATTCACTGGCATTGATTAATGGGCTGATTGGATGCTAAGAGACTAGGAGGCAACTAAACATTAATAGACATTATATACCAGTGATTTTTCTTAAGCGTAGTTGGCATTTAGTAGATTCATGCCCAGTGCTGAATTGGAAATCAGTCATCAAATGTAGTGGCTATAAGAAATGCAATATTTGGTTATTTTTCAGACCCTTAAACCAGGGGTGTCAAACTCAATTTCATTAAGGGCTGCATCATGGTTGTTTTACCTCAGAGGGCCTGGGGCAGTGATGAAATGTAAAATTCGTTACTACCAGTTCTGTGAGCATGGCTTGGGAGGGGGGCAGGTAATGTGACTGGGTGGGTGTGGCCAACTTTTTTTTTTTTACTTTTAAAAACATTTTTTCTACAACCTCTTCGGCCGAAGAGGTTATTAAAAAATGCTTTTAAAAGCCTCTGACAATCCCAGCTGAGTTGCCTGATCGGCAGAGGCTTTTTTTTTCATTTAAAAACATTTTTTCTACAACCTCTTTGGCTGAAGAGGTTGTTTTAAAAAATGCTTTTAAAAGCCTCTGACAATCAGGCAACTCAGCTGGGATCATCAGAGGCTTTTAAAAGCATTTTTTCTACAACCTCTTCCGCGATCATCAGAGGCTTTTTTTTTTACTTTTAAAAGCATTTTTTCGGCCAAAGAGGTTGTAGAAAAAATGCTTTAAAAATTTTTTTTAAAAGCCTCTGATGATTGTGCAGCTCAGCTGGGCATGGGGGGGGGGGCAGGGATGTTTGCTACCGGTTCTCTGAACCACCTGCCATCATCGCTACCGATGATGGCAGGCAATCCGGTCCGAACCGGAAGCATTGGCTGGGGGTCTGGGCGTGACCCCCAGCCAATGGTTGGGGGTCTGGGCATGACCATGGTGGGTGTGGCCAAGGTAAGCGTGGCCATGGTGGGCATGACATGAGACTGCACCTCCAGACACATGGTTTATATACACTTATAAAAACAGGGAGGCTTACAATTCTGTGATTTTGTTTTTTTAATAGTTACTTGGTCTACTTATCTTATGAGAGAGAGATCAGATCAAGAAACTAACTCAATATAGTAGCAGAATCCTGCAAGCCTGAAAGGTAAAATATTTAACCTTTCCTCCCTTTTTTTTTTTTAATTTGATTTATAATCAATTTTATAAAATTATAAAATTATAATTAATTTTATAACCTTCTGATTCAAGGACGGCTTCCTGCAGCTCTCCGGAGGCCCCATTTTGCGCCTGGAAGGCCTCCTGCAGCACTCTGGTGGCCAAAACCGGTTGCGGGGGGGGGCACATGCAGCCCCTCGCATCCCATTGTTGCTAGCAGAGGCGCTGAGGCTGATCCTTTGCTATTACCAGGCCGGCCCTGCGGACCAGATGTAAGCACCCCGCAGACTGGATCCAGCCCACAGGCCTTGAGTTTGGCACCCCTGCCTAAAACCATTGCTGGCTTCAAAATAGTAATGTAATATTTCAGCATGACAATAGGATATAGAGAAACTCAGAAAACCAAAAGAGGTCACAGATGCAGTTCCCACAAATCAGGGAACACGATAGGAGCGTCTACAGGGTATGCTTTTAAAAAAAGTCAAGATGGGAGCCATAATAACCTGCTTAAAGCTCCACCCATTTTTTTTTTATATGAATCACATCTGGAAGTGTGAAGGGCTACTTGAAGCCGGTACAAATATATGTCCACTTGCCCATCTAACATTGTTCTGACTGCCCATAGCTCTTGAGAGTGACTGTGGGAAGAAAGCAGAGGAGGTGTAGAGAATCAGCACAGCAGAGATATAAGAATAATATCAAAGCGGCCTTAATTAATTCACTATCAATCTGGCTGGGAATTACTCTTCGGAGGTTTCAAGATTGTGCTTTAGCATTAAACTAGCATGAAACTGACTTTTCTGAAATCTGTGTGGTGCTGGCTTCTTTACTAGCTAGGCGGGGCTTAATTATTTTTAATCTTCTCCATCAATTTCTATCTGCTCTTTTCAGCAGGAGACACCCAACAACAGCCAGCCCTATCATTAGGCTGGACCCCAAGGTTGAGCCTAATAGCAATAGCACTCAGACTTATATACCGCTTCACAGTGCTTTACAGCCCTCTCTAAGTGGTTTACAGAGTCAGCATATTGCCCCCAACAATTTGGGTCCTCATTTTACCCACCTCAGAAGGATGGAAGGTTGAGTCAACATTAAGCCTGGTGAGATTTGAACTGCCAAATTGCAGGCAGCCAGCAGTCAGTAGAAGTAGCCTGCAGTCCTGCACTCTAACCACTGCGTCACCACGGCTAGTGATTCAACCCACACCTGACTCATCACAAGTCCCATCTCAAGTCCCTCACCTGATGTGACCTCCCCATCAAAAGACTTACTGATCACACCAAGCCCTTATAAAGAGAGGAACACTGGCACTGACATCCCCTAAACTCCACTGAAGATGTTACCTCGCCTGGTAATGAAACATTTGGAAACTAACCCACAAGCTCAGAGAACGAATCTCCACCCTCATCCTCCACCCAAGCTACAGATATTCGCCAACATCGCAAGCCAGCCCTATGATTAGGCTCAACCCCTAGGCAGAAATAAGAACTACAGGTGACTCCCCTCTATGATCTCACAATGGCCATTCTTCAAAATGAATTAGGAAACCTAGAAAGGCAACCGGGACTCAGGACAGATCATGAGTTCTTGTGCATTCAACATAAGTACAATTCTTCTTCTTCTTCATCATTTTAGCCATTGTCAACCCACTGTGGGATGAAGGCCTCTTCCACATGTTTCCAACCAATACGGTCCTGAGCTTTCTTTTGCCAATTGGGCCTGCAATACTTGCTGATGTCATCAATCCATCTTGTTTTAGGTCTCTTTCATGGATGCTTTTTATCAAGTGAGATCCATTCTATGACTGCCTTGGTCCATCTGCCATCAGTTCTTCTTGCTATGTGAAATTTCCATTTCAATTCTTTTACTCTCTTGATGATATTGTACACTTTTGCTTGTTCTCTAAGCCAAATGCTGGTCTTTCTATCTTGTCTTGTAATGCTGAGCATCTATCTTTCCATGGCTCTTTGTGCCACCCGTAGCTTTTGTATTGATTGTGAGGTTAGTGTCCATGTCTTACCGGCATATGTTAGAGTAGTACAATTATTTAGTTCCAATTCCTTTCTTACAAGCTGACCATACCCTGCCTCTCCTAGAATCTCTTCAAAGGCTGCCAATTAGTTACAGTTATAAACTGGCAAATGAGAAGCAAATCAGATTTAATTAATTGGATATGGTTGGACAGGCCCTTCATTTACTGTACGGCTAAAATTATTCTACTATTCTAATTTTTTTTTTTCGGTGGAGAATGTGGCTGCTGCCCCATTAATCAAAGTTCAACTACAGCTCTCAGTTATTTGTTTGTTTGTTTGTTTGTTTATTAAATTATATGCCACCCATTTCACTGTCAAGTGACTCAGGAACGCTTACATCATAAAAATGGAAATATAAAATATTCAAACACGGAACATTAAAAGTTAACAAAACATAAGTCGAGCCTGCTTCCAAATTGCCTGACTGATTTCTCTTCCTCCCCCAGATCCTTACTAAAAATATTCCAGAGAACGCGGAAGTTTTGACTACCCTCGGATAAATTAAGGAAATCACACTCGTTAGCTC